CATTCCTGCATGACCACAGACTACCAGGCTGAAACGTGTTCATGCCAGCATGGGAAGGAACAACATATACTCCAATTCCTGAACTTCCAAACTCATAAGGTAAGGCAAATATCTCTCTTTTTATAATCTGCCTCAAAAAATATTTCTAGGCTTTGATTCACATTAAGGCAAGTTGTAAAATTGGTAGACCAGAATTTATGCATATCCTGCAAATGCAAGGCTGTGTAACTGTGGTGATCTTACAGGCAAGCCTGGTTGGCCTGGGTATCCAGATGGGCCCGTTGTACCTCTTGGCCCTCTAGGTCCCTGGAAAAGATGGCAAAAGTTTTGTTTGTGAAAATACCAAGAGCTTACCCCTTTCTCCACAAAACTAATCCCCCCAACATGCCTGCATTACTCTAGGACTCAGTCTGCTGGCCACCACATTCCACCCATGGCCTGAAGCTTATATCATGTCTAAACCTCACTGTCACTAGAGCAGCTCAGCACCAGTTTCTGATGCATAATGCTGTAGTATCCAGTTGTGTGTAATTAACTGATAACACTGCTGCAGTGTGGGGACTTGATAGAGTTCATCAGTGAATACTTTTTTGAAGCCTTAAGAAGAGGAACCCAAAGCCATTAAGAGTGTGAGTCAGCAACAAATTAAATTCTCTCTTCTCACATGTTTATATGGCCAAAATATGTGTGCTACATCTTCTTGGGAGATCCACAAGATACTGTTGTAGAAGGTAGCGTATCTGTACACATCTTGAACTTCATAGAGAAAATACTCTGCAAACTGAGTACCAGGGCAACAACTGCTCACTGCACAGCTACTGCAGATAGGTATGGTCCTATTCAGCCAGCATGAACTGGTTATGGGGGCAGACTATAGGGATTCAATGTTATTAGACTTTATTCTGGAATTAGGCTATTGCAGGCAGGCAGACAGAAATCCCAGTATTTCATTACTGTACAGAAGAGAAAAAATTTGAAAGATCTTTAAGACAAAAAGCATGCATAGAACCCACTGACTGTACTTACAGGCATGCCAGGGGGTCCAGGATCACCTCTGTCTCCCTGTAATGACAATCATTTAGCAAATGAATCATTACAAGCTTTGTTGTGGGTATTTTCTAACTTTACAGCTATTAAGATTACAAGCCATCTTGTCATCCAGTTTCTAGTTGTATATTTGCTTCTTTTTTTTTCTTTTTTCCAACATGCTTCATTAAGCAGCAAGGAATTATGAGAACAATTACATTTGTAATACATGTTTTCCTACAAGATACATTTTCTCACAATCAGATACTTACTGGAGGTCCTTTTCCAAAATATGAAACATACACTGAATTTCCTTTTTCTCCTTTTTGCCCTGGATTTCCCTTAAAAGAAAAAGAAGTCTTTTAAAACATGATCCACTTACTGATATCCTACTTTTCTATGGAGATCGAATGGTAATTTCTCAGGTGCCTGTGCATCACAAGGTAATTCATTAGAACCACCATCACTGCATGAGTATTTTACATCTAACAAGGCCTTTAAAAGTTAATGTCTTCTGTACCACCAAGTAAAAGACCTCCTCACATCTTCTGGAATCCTGCTCTGTTAGATGCTTCTTAGCTGGTACTTCAGTAGTCTACAATCTTCACAAATTTGCCAAGTATATCAATACACTTACCTTCTCCTTTAGTGATTCAGAGGCTGTATTAGCACTCTGCCTTCTCCAAAAGTTCATGCTATGATCTAAAAAGCTGAAAGCATGGACTGTTATGTGCATAATCTTCAACATTTCCATATATCGGGAAATATATTTCACAGTCTATTAAAAAAAAAAAATCTGACACCTAAAGGCCCTGTGTTTTAAAAAACTAAGTGTCCATGGTACTTGGTGTGGAGTCCTTTATGTAAATTCACCAATCTTAACACCCTCAAAAGCTCAGTCTGACTTATCTGACTGCTTTTGAAAAATTTAATTGTAATGTTCAATTAACTGTTAAGAGCATGATAGGTACCTACCTATCTGAGGAACAGATATAGTAAGATATTATTTCTGAAGTTTTCTCATTTGCAATCCAAGTGTACTGCTTATAATTTAACTGAAGTCTATATCCACTTAACTATTGATTTCAATAAAATGAGGTACTGTTTTCACAGAATTAACCACTTTAAAACTCTACTAGTTTCCTGATATTAACAACTAGCTGCTCAAGTCATGAAGTCAGAATGAAACAGGGAAAGCATTTATCCTTGGAATGGTACAATTAAAATAAAAGTTACAGCTGTCTGCAGCTGAATATAGCTACAGTAGACCAGATACAAATTACAGGTCAAACAACAGCTGCTAGGGAATACATTAAACACATCAAAAGTTCTATTTCTTTGGTTATTTTACGTGTGATCTCTTCTGTAATAAAACATCCCTTTAGATTCAGTTTGTTACTTTCTACATGACTTAGGTAATGACTTATAAATAGAAACTACTTTCTTTTCCAGTTTATTGGTGAGGTAAATATACACATTCTACAAGGTAACAAGCAAAACTGGTGAATATGTACATAGTGTTATAAAAAATTACAGCAGGTGTTCTAAATAAGCATAACATAAATATGTTAGCTGTGAAGTATAGTCAATTGTAGTCTCCTGGTCCAACAAATTGATTTTAAAATAGGCAATCTGCATAGAGAGATCTGAATATCATTCTTGTACACAAGGCAATATGGTCACTATGTCTTGTTTTTCTGGGTAGCTAAATTAATTTGCACTGGAATTTTAGTGTGCATATTAAAGATGACATGCCTATTGTGTCTCCCGTTCTTTGTAGCTTGCAAATACTTTTCCAAAGAGCATGCTCCTGGAATTGGGAGGATTTATGCTGTAATTTGTCTCATGTCTCATTTTACTTTTTTATCAATTGGCTAATTGTAAAAGGCAAAAATGAAAGCCACAAGTATGAAAATACAGCTAAAATTAGTTTGAGCAGCAGTAATTTTACCATTTGGAGGATTAATGGGTGACTTTGAGAGGTATAACAAATGAGGTTATTATCAAGTTTTTTTATCAGATAGTGTATTTCATAGCATTTCTTATGGGTGCAAGACTGAAATGGTATACTTTTTCTAATTGCTATATTTTGGTAACATCTTTCCACTTTCACAGCAATTTTCCACATTTTCTAATTCCCTATGGCTGAATCAGCATTCTATTTAGCTCCTAGTAAAAATGTCACTTGTTTTTATTGTTCTATTTAGAAGATTTTAGGGAAGCTCTTAGACCAGCTAATCAGCTATTAATCATTCAGAACTAAAACTTGTTTCCACAAAAAGTTAAAAACTGAGGACTAGATCCATTCAGCAAAATTTCTTTAAAGCAACAGTAAATTATATACCATACTGATAGGAATCTGTTTTGTCTTCATAAGAGCATTGTTCACACAAGTATTTCAGCGATTTTGAAATGTTTTCCATTTTAACAGAAAAAGTCAAAATGGTCTTAGCTTTGATGTGATTACATACTGGGGAAACAAAGCAGAACTTAACTAGCAGGGTAAATGTATATACTTTAAGGATATAGGAATTTACTTCACATTCAAGCTTAAACTTAAATCTGTTGGGAATGCCTTCCACGTACATAAGGACCTGTTGGTCCAATATAACCGTTTTCGCCTGGAAATCCTGGATCTCCTCTTGAGCCATTGCAGCCATCTAAACCACGTTTGCCCCTGGGTCCTTCACTTCCTGGTAATCCCTGAAAGACAGTTTAATATTTATTAGGGATACACCATTATAAACAGGGAATTACTTTTTAAATTAACAGAACAGTTCAGAAACAAGTATCTCATCTGAAAAAAAGGACATCTCTCAGTGGTCCCAGCTTCATACTCTCTTCATTAGAAATGTTTTCTCTTGCCATCAATAGAATTTTTTTCAGATACAACAAATGACATAAGCATTTCATAGATTGTTCTTTGATGCATAGTGAATATAACAGGGACAGCACTGCTTAAGAAGGCCAGACTGAGGTCTAATCTCAAGCAGCCTCACATTTTTTAATGGATAGGGTAAAACAAAAAACAGGACACAGCTTGTGCATACAGTAATCCCAAAGATTGACTATACATTGAATAACTCAGGAAGTGGTTTTCTAACCTAGCAAGAACTAATCAGTGTCCAGTTAGAGGTTGGTTCTACCATGAATTGGACACCAGAGAGAACCAGTGAGTTTTCCCTTGGAATGATCTTTCCATTGGAGGAAAAATTGTTTGTGTTTTGTTGTTTGTTTTTTTTGTTTGGTTTTGGTTTTTTGGGGGGCAGGGCATGGGGATAGTTCTGAAAAATAGTCAGAAAAGTATCCTGGCCATTTGTCTGAAACCTTTTAACCAATTTTACCTTCTCCCTATACCTAAGTTTTCTCATCCCAATTTAGGGACACTGTTTTCTAATTAACATTTTTCATTCAAACTATATGCTTTCCTTGGGCATGCTTCTTTTTTGTGCTAAATTTTGGCTTTGTGACCTCTACATTAAAAAGGCACTCTGCTAACAGTCCCATTGTCAAGTGTGGACAGCTGACAAGCAGATGGTAAGACACCCACTCAGTTTCTGGTTCTGTTTTCGCCTTCAAAATTCAACATTTTAACTTTGTTTGATACATGTGAAACTAATAATAGCATAGGAATTCAGTTCTAATAAACAGCATTTTTCAAAATACTGTGTTGAAGAGATATTATCTTTACCATTTCCACACTGAAGGAGACAGAATAATATATAATCACATGCTTATATATTTAGGGCTCACTTTCCTTCTTCAGTCCCTACTCAGGTTAAAATTACTGGAGTGTTTGCCTTTTTTTTTTTTTTTTTTAAAGAGGACTTCAAGCAAAAATCAGAAAGTTTGAGCAGAAAACAATACATCATTTGAGATACTTTCAGGGATGTTAAGAATTCAGCAAGCAGACTGCAACCTACTAGACAGCCTGAGGAAACAAACCCATTTTTTTTTAATCCTAGCACTGGCACATGCTGCATGGACACGTGCTGGACTCTACTTTCCCTGCCTTGCTCCTGCATTAATATTTTGAATTTGTCTTCTTGGGATTTTGTGGAGTTTATCAGTAGTAAATGCAGTTGAGTTTGGCTCTTTTACATCTCTGCAAAACATGCAATTCCTGTAGGTGACATTATATCAATAGGTATAAAGCCAAACAACATACTGACAGTATTATTCTATTAGAGAACTTGCTATGACTTTATAGAAGCTGTAACTTTTATCAAGCAATATTTATTCAATACGTACAGGAACACCATCTAAACCAGGAAATCCTGGGACTCCGGTTGGGCCCTAAAGAGACGTGACATGAAAAAAACAAAGTTGCTGAGGTCATTAACTCTTAAAAAGAATGAGAAAGAAGAATATATGATACTATATAGCAAGAAACAGTCATCCACTGAGATCAGCAGAATTACACCATTAAAACTAATACGAAGTACCAAGAGCCAAGCACACGGATTGTACAGCTTTGAAAGAAACAGACCTGCACTGCAATTTATACTCTGTAAGTGGTAATAAAACTGTTTAGTGTACAGCACTTTTAAAACTATCATACTTCACCCTTCAGCTTCATGTTCCTCCCACAGCCCTCTTTGAGGTTAAGGAGGATGACACAGTATATAATAATTGGAATCTGGGGCTGTTTCATTTTTTCTGTCATCTGACAATTCTGATTTTGCAACCCATAGCAACAAACCACTGAAACATTTTTCAAAGAGAGCTGTAATTTCAGTGAGAACTTTGTGTGAGCAAGATTATAGTTTGAGAGATGCTTTTTGATCATTAATGTTCTGTTTCACTTGCCAATATTTAACATTACATACTGTATACGCCTAAAAGAGTTGTCTGTGGTGTTTCCTACCTTATCGCCTCTTTCTCCAGCTGGTCCAGGCTGCCCATTCTCACCTCTCTGTCCTTTTTCCCCCGGCAGACCAGCTGGTCCTGTATATCCCAAGGACCCAATTGGACCTTGAGCTCCCAGCTCGCCAGGCTGACCCTGAAAAGAGTTCAAAGAAGTGAAGGACTGCTGCAGTAAACTTAGCAGCAGGCAGCATTTTGGAGGTGCCTGTATGGATAAAACAAGGCTTACAGTGTGTACATATGATTCCAAAAACATTTGCTGCCCAGCTTGCAGATCTGTTTCATGCATTAGATGCTACAGGAACATGACCTTCACATTTAGCAGCCTGCTCAAAGTGATAATTTCATTTCACCTTCAGCAGGTCTCCAGCACCACGTCTTTGAGAAGCCTGGGTTACACTGGAAGTCTTCCTGACTCTACCGATGTAAGTATCACGTTTTGCAAGCATGAGACTCTACTGAGCATAATAGTATTGCCACCAGAGAAATGATGGCTCATTTTCAACCAGGGGACTTTGTACACAATTAGAACAACTTGAGAGGGTTTTCTCTCTCAAGTCACACTGTACGCTAGTTATCTAGAGTTTTTCTGTCTTTTATCATCACTCTCAGATCTTAATGTTTAATTTAAAGGTTGTGCAGTGTCCTGCAGGGGAAAAAAAAATGATAGTTATCAGCCAACATATTTACAGATAGTATCAATTTGAAGAGATTGCGTTAAAATGGTTTTGGAGGTTGCAAAACGTCATTTATCCATATATGCAGCTCTTTTCAGTTAATAGCCTTGGTATGGAGTTGTTTTGGGTTTGTTGCAGTTTTTGTTCTAAACAATTATTAAGTCACGGATTCAAAGTGCTGAATAAAGCAAGCTTTCTAATCAGAGCTCACGTGAGCTTCTCTACACATTCACTCTGCAAAATCTAGTAATTTACAGGTCTTTATTTATCTTACTCATCTTTTTCATTCTATGTAATTATCTTTCTTTAGCTATAACTTGTTTTGTTTCCCAGAGTTAATTAATCAATTATGACATATTATTAGAAAGAAAGCAAAATGGAGCCCCGTGCATTCCTAAGAAATACATAAGTTCTAAGACCACTTGAGGGCAGTAAAGAATATTTCAGTACATCATCCATCCACAGAAATGACAGATCATATGTTTATTTCTATATATGGATTGAAGGAAAACAAAATGACAGAAATCAAAGGTGATTGAAAGTGGGTATGTTAGCTTCAGGAGTCAAATTATGTTGAAGCAACATAACTGAACCACTTGCTTCTCAGTGTAAACATTTCAACAGACTGAATCTGTCTAGGCAAACTCTTGTGACCTGCAAGCAGGGACCTAAACCTCTTTTTATTTATTCTACATTTGTCTTTTAAAATATGTCAATAAAATCAGTGTGGTTTGACAGTTAGACAGGAAGTGAAGAAGTGTGTGGTATACATCATCCAATCAAGTCAGCAAAGAAACGGAGTAATGAGAAATTAACTTACTACATGCTTGGAACAGGAACTTACTATACGCTTATGCCATACTGGAAGCAGGACTAGATCACCACTGGCCCTGAAGCTACAAACAGGAATTTAGTCCAGAGGCTAGGAAAACAAGTCCTATATCAACAAGTAATGACTGCCTGAAAAGGTATCTTCATACGATTCATGTTTTCTGTGTCTTAACTGGCTCCTCTCACTTAAACTTTGATCCTGCTTCCAGTGAAGTCACTGGCAAAAAATCCAGGGCAGAGTCAGCATATTGTCTTCAGCATGAGTTGCAGTTTTCTTTCCTATAATTTCAACAGTGTAAAATATTATGCAAATTAAGGGCTACTAGTATTAAAAAGTGCTGATTCTGCATCCTTGTTAACAATGAATGGACAGTCAGGATTCTGGGTGTTTAAGTATTTGCTTGCATGAACAATTGCAGCCTGTCTATTGGCAGTGCCTTGCACATCCTCTGTTGTAAAACTGAATTTACTCATTGAGATACTCTTAAAGCAGCTATTTTACATCCTTAAAACACTAAAAAAAAAAAAAAAATAATAAAAAATAATAAAAAATACTAGACAACCATTTTGAGTATTAGAAAAATGAAATGAATGAGACTAATGATATAGTAAAATACAATTGTTTGAACTATTCACTCTACCGGTACGGTTTCTTAGTATACTGATCTCGCTGTTACCATGCAAAATGCAACATTCAGCAGCAGGAATCAAAAAGGCATAAGATATTTCTCACTAATACTCTAAAGCCTTTGTCTTAACAGTGCATTTTCTTGACAACAAGTTTCTGCAGCAACTTTAATATTTTTGATTCATAGTGTATATGCTCTGCGTTCAAGAGTTGAAGGAGAATTTTCAAATCATGTTATATCCTCTTGACAGTGGAAGAAACGTGATTTTGATAGTGCTTGGAAAAAAAGCTGAGATCCTTTATGAATTCTGTGGTAATTATCCATCATAGTTAAACAGTAAAAACTTCCAGAATATTTGGTCCTTTGGGCTGATAAAATGTCTTCGCTAGTTGCTACCCTGTATGTTTAATTGCTTCCATGGTTTATGTCTTCAGTAGGAGGTAGTGAAGTCATAAAGCAGAGTCACTGAATCCAGAATTCACAATAGGCTTGACAGCTGATACAACTTTAGCATGCCATGTGAAGCTGGTGGATTGTCTCTCTTTCTTTCAGCTCAAAGACTGATAATGACTGGGAGCTTTGTTAAGACCAAACTGATACCGTGTCATAACATCTATTATCACATCTATTATTTGTGCCCATCCAATGTGACTACCACAGCATTACAGTCTCAGGACAGCTGTACAAATAAAGAGGATGAAGGTAGTCGTGCTCATGTGGAAATGACAAATTAGCTCAGTTAAAATGAGCAGAATATTATGCCTGCTCTGCCATCTGATGCCAATGAATTCCTTTAGGATTTCAATGCCTTGTTAATTGTCTAGGTCAGGAACTACCCATGCCAAGACTGTGGTCTGTTATTTTAGCATATCCTGGGCTTGACCTGCACTAAGGAACTGATTTTTGACAAAACAAGACTATATTTTTTTTAATTAAGCATGCTTACTAAGACTGCAAATAGTTCAGAATCATGCAGCAAAACATTTCATACTGTTTGGAAAAGGCAACGGCCAAGGTTATTTTTTGGTTGCCTGAGACACTGAAGTGCACTTGGTTTTTAGAGTGCCATGAGCACTTAATTGTCTGAAAGCAAAATGCTTTAAAGGAGTCTTAAATGGAAATGAACAAAAAAAATTGTTCTCACTATTAAAGTGGATTCTGTCTTGTTTCTCATGGTTGATGAGTCAAAATAAGGCCAGTTATTGCCTCCAATTAGGAGAGTATCCCATGTTACAAGCTATATGGATGTAACAGTGGTATCTGAAATGCATTTACCTTCTGTTCATATGAAGAAAATGAAAATACCCAGCAACTCAACCGAATCAGATTGTAGGTAAATAATATAATGTAGTATAATTGTAGGTAAATAATGTAATGCCCTTTTTCATTCTGCACTAGACTCTGGATTATAACCAGTCTTTCTCATTTTACCAGGAGCAGGCTGGAGAAAGGGAGGGACGTTGAGCAGTATGGAGGCAAGAGAGGCATGCACACAAAGGCATTTTCAGACAGATGTTTTCTTTTGTAATTTTCTTAGTGAGGTGGGAGCATCTGCTGCTTCTCTAAGCTCCACCCATGCCCTCTACCATTTGGAAGACCAGGACTGTTACAGAGCAAACCCACAGCTTCTAGGGGTGTCCATTCTGGGAATTTTCCACTCCTCCACTGTAACTATGTAGGACTGGGACCAAAACAGTTGTCACTGTAAGTCAAGGCTCCAAAATAAGCCTTCTAAACATTAGCTTTATCAGAATGAGATAAATCTGAAAAAAACACACAACTTGGAATTAAATCCACTCTTTTGTCCATATTTTTATGTGACTGTGGGTTAAATAGTGAGATTCAGACTAATACGTGGCATGTACTTTACCCTCAGTTTGTTCAGAAATAGCAGATTGTATAATGACCTTTCAGTATTAGAGAACTACATTTTTACAGTCAGATTTTGAGCCAATTACATGCAATAGTAACTCCTAGTGCTTGACTTTTCTCAGCATATGAATCATTCTGCAAACTACTGGTAATTTATTTGCTCTTTTGTAATATTTTTCAATGATTTAATATGCTGCAGGAACATTGCACCAGATAATGCAGGTTAGTATTCTCAGTGATACTTAGTATCTTACTTAGTATACTCAGGATACTTAGTATCCTCAGTGATACACTGAAGCACAATAATCACAGTAAAGTGCTGAAAACATGTACTTTGTTTTGTGTTTTAACCCTGTGAACCATGAACGTAGAAAGTATCCAGTAAAGCGGTGAGTGTCACTATTGTTTTAAACAGGAGATAATTAAGCACTGAAACTCAAAGAAACACTGTTAATGGTTGAAAGCAGAAAGCTGCAAATAGAGCATTTTAGACCACAAATAATTAACATCAGATTAGCTAGTAAAATTAACTTTTGCTCTGATTAATTTTATTGAAACAAGTCACTGACTGGCAGTTTTCTGTTGATATAAATCTGTGAAAAAGAATGATTTGTAGAGTTTTGTCTTGTCTGATGTGGAGAAGCTTAACAATCTGCAGCAACTAAGAAAAATGCTATTTTTAGTATGGTGGGGCAGGGAAACCAGAAGTATTAAGGAAAAAAAGATATTCATGAACAAAAGGAGGAATTATTTAACAAGACTAAAACTTTTGAAAAATTTGGAAAAATGTCTAATACGAAAAATTCTAATTTACAGATACTGTAGCTGGTGATTGTACATTAAGAACCACCTCAAAGAGACATTACAGTGAGGAGGATGGACTGGTTCTGTTCTTCTGCATTCTGGTAAGCAGGCTCCATTTCTTACCTGTTCAAATCCTAACTTCTGGAGACAGAAAACTGCCTACTGCTCTGCCCAGTTATAAAAAGATGTCTGGTCTGCTTCAGATATAGATCTAGGTGTCTCATTTCTTTAGGTCTATAGTTCTCAGCAATTATAAGAAACATGTTTTTTTCTATGGTTCTCAGTGACTGTAAGTGAAAGGCTAGAGAAATGCAGAACCAGCCTCAGGGATCTTGTGTTTTAAAACTTTATCATAGCTAATACACTGGGGGAAACTATCAGTAAGAATGAGGCAAATAGTGGGAGAGGTCTGGGTTTCCTCAGATACTAGTGTGTATATATCTTTGATAGTGAATTCAACTAAGCATATGTCTTTGAGACCAAATAGATGGATTTTACATATTAATTTTTTGAGCATGCAGCTTGAAAATTCAAAGAAAAGTGCTGTATATTCCATGTGAAGGACTGACTGCCATTGCATACTGACATGGAAGAAAGTGTGACTTTTAAATGCCCCAAACCAGAATTTTTCATTTCCCAGTTCATGAATCTTGAATATGCTTACGTGCTGCTCTAAATTGGACTCAGTGAGCCCACATGATCAACTAGGGAGATATGACAACTCAAATCACATCTGTTTTAGGGAGGTGTGGCAAGAGAAGAGATACCAAGGATACAGAGCTATTATAGTGTGAAAAGTTGTCATTCTCATCCCACTGCCCTGAAGTTATACATCCAGTGACTTTCTAACTTACCTGGGACAATCAGCTGACTAAATATCTCTTGTGAATTACTCCTTAGACACTGTATGCCAGAAAATGCAAGACCTGTCTCTCAGATTTCTGTTAGTTAGGTTCTTCACTACACTGATATGGAAGTAGGCCACTTGCTTCATCCACAAAAGAACCAACATCAGTCTTGCTGAGTTATATTTATTATTTGCTTTGCTCCAGGCATTTCACATGATCTCATAGAAGCTAGATCAGGTTGGGTCATGAATAGACGCTTGCTTTCTAAATCTACTTAACTCTATAAACAAAGGCAAAGGAATTGAGTGGGATCAAGCTCTGGGGTCAGCACAGGACAGGTTTATAATTGGTCAGTGCTAACTGCAAACGTTTTTTTAACTATCTAAATTCTGTTAGAGCAGCCAGTGTTTTTAGGGGTCTCTGATACAACACTGCGGGAGTTATCAAGGAAACAGCTTCCCAAGTCAGAGAAAGACAGGGAAGTGGAGGAAAGATTTCACTGTCTGTTGGATGTTACCAGGAGAAAATTAAAATCACAGAGTTAATATGAGATCAAAGAGGAAGAGGGGAAGAAAAATTAAAACAATGAAGTTGCTGTTTGCCTCTAATGAAAAACATTGACTGCTGCTGCTTCCTGCAAGACCATACATCTTGACTGGGAAAGAAGAGGGAGGAGAAAGTCTTGGTTGCTCCTGACTGGCACCAAGAATCATGCAGGGCTCTTACTGGTGTACATACTTTCACTGATGACTTCCTCCGCTCATTTATATGTTCTATAGTTCTTACTTGAGTATGTATAGCAGCACACAATATGCACATAGAAATTTAACAGCACAGTTTAATGGCCTTTTGAGTTGTGACATGAGATCGAGAGATAAATAATATAATGTAAAACTAATTCCAACAACGGTTGCAATAATAGCTAAACAGCAGTCAAACTTTCATTGTGACGTGGACAACTGTAGTGATATCCAGAATGAGAGATACTACTAGCAATAGTGACCAGAATGTTTTTCAGACAGTGATTTCTTGCTAAGGAATAGTAGTGCAAATCTCTTTATAGCACAGTTGTCAGCTGTACAGTTTTCTTATACTGCCCTGGTAACCATGGCTTTAACTAATCATACTGAAACTGCATTCAAAAAAAGGGATAGAGATAAAGGTCCTTATACCAAAGACAACGGAGCAAGATTTGAGGTCCTACTTTCCTACGGAAACTTGAGAGTATACCACACTCCTGACACCCATTCTAATTCACCCATAAATCTGAATGTTATTTAGGAGTTTAATCTTAGGTGTGTCTATTACCCTGGTTTGTTGTGGGTTTTTTGGTGAAGAGATGTTAAGGGTAAGAGCTACAGTTATGCCAATGTTTTTAGTCTTACAAAACATACTTCGCTTCTCAATGGTGATTACAAATAAACAAAGCTGTCTCTAAGACTTTTGTCCTACCTTAATTTTAGCAGAAATATTTGTTATGGATTGAATAGCAGTCTGCTCTAAACATAGAAGTAACATGTTTGTTCACTTTACTAGCTAAATTTCCAGTAGTCAATGCTTCCACTGAAAGTATAGAAAGGAAGGTTACATTCTAAAATCTGTAAAATGCAAACATCATCAAATACCTGTCATAGCATTTAATATGTCAACAAAAATCCCTGAAATGGAACTTGCAACAATATTTTCCTCACAGTCTGCTGACAAAGTGAAACACATATTAGATGGGGACCTCTTAGCTGGAGCACTACATAACTGCTGTTTCATCAGCAGATAGATATTCTGACTTCTCAAAAAATCTCCTTTCTGTTTGTGTGTGGAGAAGGACGTAGGGAAGTCACCATTAGCTGTGTGCAAAACAAAGTGCTTAGGTTCTTACTCAGATGTCAAATTACAACTTCTAAGTTGGACCTATGACATCTATCTCAGACTTTGAATAACATGTTTAATTAATTCGTAATAGGTCTGACCTTGTGTGTTTCTAACATAAATGACACTGTAGCAGTGCAATAATGAGACATTTTGCCCTTGCCCTCCTGTAAATCTTTGATTACCCTGTTCAATGGAAAATCATGAAGAGAACACCCTACATCTGACTCCCTGTGGTGAAAGAGATTAAGAAATAAACAAAAGTAAAAGTAAGTGGACTAGTCTACGTATGTCAATGTAACTCAATACCTATACAGATGTAGCTCACTTAGGTGCTGCCTTTCTCATTCAGCCTTTGTAAAAACCCCTGATCCTGCAGTTGGATAAAGACTTGTTAACTCCACGGGCTGCTGTAACGTTGGCTTTCCAGCTAGTCTGGACAAAATGACAATTCCATTGCCTTTTGCCAGTGAGTCTATGATTATTCTGAAATGTGATTGTATTTTCAGGAACTGTTTGCTGGATGGGCCAGCTCATCCTTAATTTTGACAGCTAGCCTATGTTAAATAGTGAAAAAGGAAAAAATATGGTGGTAGGCAACCAAATGTATACTTTTGCCCTTATCTCAATTTTATTATAAAGGAGGATTATTTAATAAACTGTACACTTCTGAAATTTCAGGTTTGCATATTGTACAGTGTCTGGGGCTTTCAATGATCATTTTTTTTGTGCACTTTAGAGACAGGATTGAGGAAGATGCAGAACTCTGAGAAACCAGCCTGACAGCAGGATTCAGAAAGAAAAGTAGATAAAGCAGATGTTTTGCATTCTAGGAAGCTAGCAATAAGATAAACACATTTTATTTTGTAACAAGTAGTCTCCACAAAAGCTAGGAAAGCAAAGTTATTGTGTCAGAGTGTAAAGGCAAAGCACAGCAAAGTTTAAAAAGCAATGGGATTGTAGGATGAAAAAGAGATTGAGTGATTCTATAGAAAATTATCCATCACCATACACCAGTATAGAAAATACTTGCAACAATCTATCTGAAGTGGTGTTTAGTTAAGCCATATTTCATGTGGGGTCTGATATATACTTCTAATTTTTGCATATTAATTAATATAAATGATTGCATGAAATATAAATTCATATTTCGTTGGAGAAACTTCATCCATCAGTGTGCATATGTATTTCAGAGCTGTTTCAGAAAATAGTACAATTCTCAGACTTACATTTGCATAATGACATTGAATTTATTTTGAAGTGTTTATTATGCTTTTATTTGGCACTGAGATCCAGATCTTTGAATATTAAGAAAACCAACTGCAAACACCTGAATCATGGTTCAGTTTACCTGTGGCGGGGAAGGACAGCTTAGGAAAGAGCCATAACAACTGCAGAGTATTTATTATTGACTGATTGTGGGCATTTAATTCAGAACTTCCAGGCTACTGAGAGAGCACTGGAATCAGGGAAATTTCCTCTAGTTTTAAAGTCAGTTGTTTTTAAATGGCACTTTAGACCAGGATTTTGGTATCCAAAACAGTCTATTCAGTAGCACTGAGAGACACTGCAATGCTGCTAGTCAAAATACTTTTCCTGGGGTGCCCTTTTGTTAACATAGTGTTACAGAGATAGACACATCCTAGGCCTCTATTATTAAAATCCTACAGCATGGGGGACTTTCATATAGACATAATCCTGGTGGATTAGGAAAGGATCCAAGGACACCAGGGCAGTGATCATGACACAGCAAAGCATACAGCTAACTGCAAAAGCACAGGAAGGAGAAGGTGCATCTTGCTTTTGTGGTGACTCAGGTTGTACACAAATGGGGCATGCAGCTCTCCTAAAAACTGATCCAAGCTTTCTAACCTTTAACTTTTTTATTAATAATTGGACAGTTTAACTAAACTGACAATTTTTCACTTGTTCACTAATCACAGCATGTATATAAACAGTCCTTTCCTCATATAATGTTTAAATTGTTTGCTATCACTACATGGGTAGGGATTTTGAGAAAAAACAGCCAAGATAACAAACTAGTCACCACTGAACCATATTTCAGTCAACAATGTTTATACTTAGTGCATTAAGCTGGTAAAATGAAAAGTCTCCAACCTCTTCCAAAATAAAACCAGTAAATGGCATAGACATTCTTTTTTAACCAGCCTCTTATTAGAAAAGGAGCATCAATTCCTAAGCTTAATATATATGAAGAATGACCTTTATCTAACTGCTAGTTTGATCTCAAAGAATCCTTAACACAAAAAAGGCACCACTAATATTACAAAGCTGATTTGCAAGCAAACCTGCTTAAAAACAATCTTTACATCCTTCAGTGATAGCTGTACTTCATACCAGTGAGAGAATTTTGCTAGTTTGTTACATTCAGACTTGTCGATATCTGAATATTGATTTATTGACATAAGTCAACCATCTCAATTTTAAAGAACCACACTGTGCACAAAATGAACAGTATTTACAACAGTAATTAAAATTAGTTCTAATCACTTACTCTTGATCCTTTTTCTGGGAAGCACCGACAAACTGAACAATCCTGTCCCCCACATGGATCAATATATGCATATCCTCCCTAAAAATTGAAAGTTTATAGATTTATTAATATGAAACAGACAACAACCACTTCATCAAATATAGTCAGCTGGACATATTGTCCAATGGGATTATATTTATGGCAAAAGATTTGGCTACACTTGCATACCCACAGGCCAAGTTCCTGCTGATGAAGAAATTTGGCACAGTAGCAAACATCATGCTACAAAAATCATGAACCTTTTCCAATGCTTGCTGGGTAGAATGCACACATCAATATTACATATCAAATCCTCCTAACCTTCTTGAACCTCTCATCAGCATAAACATGCTTGCAAAGTAGAAGCCATAAGCAAAAGCTTATTCCTGTTGCTGTAGAGGGTGAAAGACATCACCTGCAAGTTAGGTTAAGTAATGCTAAACATGATGGCTAAACACTACTACAAAACAGGCTTTTAACTGAATCAGACTTTAATGTGTAATAATGTGAAATTTGCAACCCATCACATTATGTTAGGAGATTGTTTAATTGTCATTAAATTATAAAAGGCAAAACAGGATGAAGAGCAACAAGCCCAGTCAGCTTAATGAAATCTTGTATTTAATCCTTGCCTATTAAATGAGAAAAAGAAATACGTACATGATGTAATTATGCATTGCCTGCCATTAGTTTCCTTATTTCTTGTATTAAAATTTTCCATCATTTTCTTCTTAATGGCAAAGAAATGACTACTTTATCTCACCAGGTTGCAATAAGGAATAAAAGCATATTCAGGGAAACTAAAACATAACAAAATCTACATTCAGTAGATTTACTGTGTGGTAAGTGAACATTATTATATCACTCTTTTCTATTTCCCTAAGTGTAGTGTCAAACACATACCAATTATACACACCATGTGCATTTCTAAACTCACGTAGATGTTTGAAATAGCCACTAGGTGACTTTTTTTTTTTTTTTTTTCAAATGTGTGTCAATTATCGAAGTGGTTTTGAAAAGGATGACAAGGATTTAAAAGATTTAAGAATAATTTAGGTAACTAGTAAACAGTGATAACATGAGAACATTTGCTCAGTGTGGATTTCGTTTTTATCAAGGTCAACATTGTTTTGTTACTGGTTTTGAGAGCCAACAGAACACAATAGGTTCATACTTCAAATTGCCAAGGAGAAAACACTGATAAATATAGATAAGGAGAAAAAATTCTGTTCTTTCTATCTACATTATTTTTAGAATATCTGGTGCTCCTAAATCTCAGAACAAGGTACAGTGGTCTCTCACACACTGCTTCTCTTTCACACACTGAATTTCCCAGGAAATTACTAATCTACTCCACACTAGACTCTCACCTAGTTATTAAAAATTTTATCTCTACTGGAATGTCAATGGAAAGCAAGTGTCTAATAACACATAAGCTGTTAACCTTTGTTCTAGTTGAACAAAGTAATTTATTTTTTAATTAATTTTCAACAATTCAACTGAAAAGGGATTACTTTGGGGGGAGAAACAAACAACAAAAAAAGAGCTTTTAAATATTTTAAAGAAACTAAGAGCATGGACTTGAGTCTCAGTGAAGGCTTTGCAAAAACAAGGTTAATATGGAGGACAATACAGAGAGGGAACTAAAGTAGATATCAAGACTATATTATATGTGAAATTTTGGATTCAGAGAGATTGAAATGTACAGGGAGGTCAGCTTAGGATCTAGGCTAACATACAGAAAGAGTCTTGAAAGCTAGAAGGATTTTGATATATGCTATAATGTAGAGCAATTAAAGGGACTTCATTAGGAAGGAAACAGACCGAGTGTATGAGTAGTTTGGGTTTTTTGCATGCAGCCTTCCCAAAGCATCTAAATATGCCAAAGAATCTAGAAAAATCCCTAGAAGAAAATTACAAAATAGTTAAGCTGAGCAACAGGGACGGATAGGCAAGTGAGAACTGCAGAAATACTAAAAGAAACATCACAATTTTCCTGTAGAACTAGAGATAATTTTGGTGTGTGTAGTGTTACTTGCTTTAACTATACCATCCTACCTCTCAGCTGTCTGAAGTAAATATCAATGTCACTTACCCCATCAACTTCTTGTGCTGAAAAAGCAATCAGCAGACACCTGATTTAAAAGAAGCAGAAAACTGAATTAAAACTAGACTTCCAGCATCCAACCTTCACAAAAATGTAGCCTCTAAAAAGTGAGAAGTGTGTACACATGATTTAAGTCTCACTACAGGAAAGACATGGACCTGTTACAGTGAGTCCAGAGGAGGGCCACAAAAATTATCAGAGGGCTAGAACACCTCTCCTATGAAGAAAGGCTAAGAGTTGGGATTGTTGAACCTGGAGATGAGAAGGCTCCAGGGAAATCTCACTGTAGCTTTTAAATAATTAAAGGGAGCTTATAAGAAAGATGGGAACAAACTTTCAGTAGGGTCTCTTGTGACAGAACGAGGAGCAATGGTTTTAAACTGAAAAAGGGTAGATTTAGACCAGATATAATTAATAATTGTTTTATGACAAGAGTGGTGACACACTGGAACAGGTTGCCCACAATGCCCCATTCCTGGAAATATTCCAAGTCAGATTGAATAGGGCTCAGAGCAACCTGAACTAGTTGAAGATGCCCCTGCTCACTGTAGGGGGGGAGTTGGACTAGGTGATGACCTTTAAAGGTCCCTTCCAACTGAAACTATCCTCTGATACTAATTCCTTTTTTTTTGGCTGATTATTTAGGAACGGAGTACATTTATAAGGGGTATGTACCACGAAGAAAAGGTCAGCACACAATATACGTATTTGTCTTTTTGGATTTGTGAGGCTGAGTACAAACAGATGGACATGAAAAGGACTATGCAAAAGTTGTTGCAATTTCCCCCTTGTAAGCCATTTCAAATCCCACAATTAGGAATGTCCAGAGAAAAACCATTCCAGATTTCTGTACCTCCGCAGACACCATGGGATGAATATTGAGAAGAAATGGAAACAAAGGACTGATTAAACAATGTGAAACTTTCAGATTATCAGCTACAGCAGTAAATTGTGAAGTTCTGTACATCCCAATTGTTCATAATTTAATGCATCAAATAAATTTGCATAGAAAGGATTTAACATCACAGGAACACTAGGTAGCAGAAAATAGCATTTGTTTGTGTTGTGATTATTACTAGTTTAAGGCCATTTTTGCTTTTAACCTTCTGAACTTAGTCTCTATAAATATTTTTTTCTGTATCAGCGTTGGCCAGGTGTGATTTATTTTTCATTTAAGAAAATGCCAAGTTGCCATCAAGAACTTGCACAAGTGAAATGGAAAGCTGAATATACTGTTCTTGATGCATGGCACTGCAGTCTCCCTTTTTTCCACTCAGAAACAGCAGGCATGTATTTGCCAGATTGTTCTCTGTCGTTTCAAAATCCCTGCTTCCTGAAGCCAGATAGACCTTGCCCATTTACTCAATTCAGCACAAGACTGGTAGAGGTAAATTATTCACAAATAATGCAGAAAAAAGGCAAGAAGAGCTACCTTGGGGAGATGGCCAGGATAGAAGACTGCTACATTGGAGAACAACTGAATAACAAGAAGCCTGGGTTTGCACAAACAAAATAAACATGAAAAAGATACTGGAGAGAGTTCAAGCATATTAGCATGACCCAAGTCTGCCTGGTATCATGAGTGTCAGGTTCAAGCAAGGCACATTTGCTGGGCCAGGTTCCTAGCTAGAAAAGCATAATTTCACATTCCTAGAAAGCCTGGTACATGAAGTTTTATAAAGAACTCAAGAAAGATGGAAAATTTCACTGACTTTTCCTAGAAAGTACTACAGAGATGGAATCATTGATCCCACGCACCACTTCAAAGATTCCTGGCAGCAGTGATGTTCTACTTAGGATAATTTTCCTCCCAGAAAAACTCCTGACACAGCTGCTAACAGGCATTTCCATCATATTCTCTAAAAGTTTTCTTCATGCCTTTTAATAATTCTCCTTTATCTACAAAATTTTTCTGGGACAGGCATTCAGGTTTGAGTTGGTAATTACTTTTTCTTCTCCAAATACGTTAATCACTACAATGCAGGAATATCTTGTCTCTTAAAACAGACCTCAGAATTATAGTTCCTGTTTCCTACAGTTTACGTAGTTTAGTGCCTGAAATTTAAATGGTATAAACTTATAGACCAGCAATTGAAATAAAATATAATAAATTATTGTATAGGCTTAACAAATTTATTACAGGCTACAGATTATTTAACTGATTATTTCTCATTATTGTTAAATTAATAGATGACTGTATCTTAGTGATTCTAGTTTAAAAAATTAGTGATCTGTAAAACTCACCATGCAGCTGTGATAAGCCACTTAGTCTGTTCAAATGAATCCTTTGTTAATGCCATTCAGGCTGATTGAGGTTCTGTACATGCAGCACTTTTTCTTTCTTTCTTTTTAAACAGTAGGTCTTCTCTTTCCTTCTGTTTGTAGATGGTCTACACACTGTTCCATGCTTTTTTTTTTCCACTCTGAACCTGTTTATATTAAAATATACATCTGATGTACAAATATGAATAATTACCAGGTAACCAAAAAACCCCACATTTACATATGTCATACTGCACAGCTTTACGTTGACACTACATTATATTATTCCCATTCAGGTTGCATTTTATTTTACCAGCAATCCAATTATTTCAAGGGGACTATATATGAAGTGACAGATCAACATAAAAGGGTACAAGATTTCAGCCTAGAAAGTCTTCAGTCAAGTTTTTAAAATAATGAACAAAGAGCATCTTGCACCATTATTTCTTAAGAACTATCATACCCACCATTTCAGCTAAAAGCATGGAAATAAAAGTGACACCTCTCTGCTGTAGAGATCTAATAAGCTTAAAAAAACCCAAACAAACAAACAAAAAAACCTCAAGAAAATATTGGCTATACTTTCAATGCTGTCTCCATTGGTTGTGTAATGTGGTTCCTTTAAGCACACTGTTAGGACGGTCATTTTAAGCACAAGAAGATAAATGCTGCTTTCCATAGGACTTCTGCTTCATCCATGATGAATATATTCCATGCTCTTTTCATCCTTTCTTTAAGCCCTATTTTTTCTTTTACAATGTCCTGTGAATCTTTGCACTTTATACTAAATTCATACAAGTGTAATGTTTCCCACAAAAATATTCCTTATCTGTAAAAAGAGAAAACACTATTACCCATGTTTCGCCAGACAAGTGAGGAAACAAAAACAAATCTAAAATCACTAAGTATCAATTACTGTGAAAAAAAATGCACCCGAAATTAACTTGTTGCAACTTTCAACCACTTTCTAGTATTAAGGTTGACCTCTCTGTTGTTCATGCACTGGTGGTTTGTTGTTTGTGGTTTTGTTTTTGGGGTTTTTTTGTTAAGTACCTCTGCTACAAGGTAAGATTTTGTCACAACTGCTGTTAAGCTTGGCCGCCCAGCTGTTGTGCCAGACAAAATAGTCTCTGAGTTTGTAGCTTTCAGAAGATATTATGGACTACAACAGTATCAGCAACACAGTCTGCATCAAGGTTCTATAAAGTTTCTTTCGATGAATGCCATCAAGTATGGGAGCAACAAGCTGCATGGAGAACATCAGTGGCTGATCTTACCCTTGTTCCAGCTCATTGCTGCTGGGAAGTCCCTCATCTGTCCTAGAAACTCACATAAAGGCTTATGGGCTTTTATGGGACAATCTCATAATGCATCATTATTTGCTGTTTCTTAACTGTAAAAACCACACCACTACCATCCAATTGGGCCATACTGCTTATCAGCCAGTTGCTCAAGATGAATTAAATAGGTGGTACTGGGGTAAAGACTGGGCTCAAAGACTTTTTAAAAAATGTTTTTCTGTTGCATCTCCCTTATTTGCACTTTCCCATCTTTGCTCTGAACTGGCAGACTTTTTTTTTTTTTAATTTCTTCACATAATTTAAAAACTGACTTAATTTATTTTTATTATAGCAGTATTTAATTCACTAGGTAATCTGCATATATTAATTTATTTATCCTAATAGTGTTTTGCTGCTTTCTTCTGTTTCTTCCAATATTTCTTTCACCTAACATTCTAGAGCTCTCCTTTTAAGAGTGCTGTCTTCTTTACTCAGTTACACTGTTCTCCCTGCATCTGAATTTGCATCATTTCTGAGGACTGACCACTCTCTTCCACTGTAGTCTCATGTGCTCTGACCTTGTCTCAGACAACCTTGTACCTTTCATGTGCACTTTTGTGTAAATGAGTCTCTGCTACATTCTGTTTAACACCAGTTTTCTCATGTTAAATTTCAGTGGTGGATTTAGATACTCATAATTTTAGGTGCCTGTGGCTTATTAAAAACTGTAACTGTAGACCCCATTTTTGTCCCTACTACAGTATACCTGAGTAAAAAATATAGCACTGTTGAAGTCAACAGGTTTAGGAATCTGACAAATACAATGCATCAGTTTAGTGGTTTTATCCCAAGATACTATTCCCTCTACATGGTAACCATCAATTCAGCTTGAATACAGGGTGTTGGTTTTTTCCCTTTCTCTTCATGCCTGCCAGCTTTGCTCCCACTGATGCTTGAGATTTTAGAGCCAAGGTGGTAACATCTGTGGTGATCTGCAAGATGTTTGACACTGAACATACTGTTCAGCTCTTTCAGAAATGTGCCTTAGCTGCTAGTACCAAACTTTTGAGAAAGTAACCTCTCTTAGCTTTCACAGCAAGCTGCATAGGGGCTTGACAGTTGTGCCTACTGGGTGGATGGAGATCCAGCTCTACTCTGCTGACGGTAAAAGAAGCTGTTTTACAAAGCTCTGTGGTTAGCTTTAAACACACTAAAGGCTTTAGATTTTTATCTCATGAGTAGTCCTATATAGATTTATATACGTATATAGTTGTATGTTTTTGCTTTTTCTGTATCACTTGGTCTACTTAATAAACCCTGAAGCTCCGATTTCCCCTGCAGCTCTCACAGGCACAGGCCAGCTCGGGCGCCGCGGCCGGCAGACCCACCTTGCACAGGGCAGCGCTTCGGTGAGATGTCACCTTAAACATGCTGTACTTCTGTCAGTAACCTAAGTGTCATTGCCAGCGCTTCACAAATCACTCTTTCATACAGAAAACCTTGATATCGTGCTAAGCTATGAGGGGAGTGCGGGGAGAAACACTTCCCACTACATTTATGCCCTGGGCAGCACTTTGTCCCTTCTGGGGCTTTTGGGTCTCCGCTGCCTCATTAAGAAAACACTTGAGGGAGACGAGAGCGGTGCTGAAAGGAAAACAAACGCTCTCGTCCGGGCCGGGAGGGTCCG